AAGGTTTTGTAGAAGCCCAAAATCTGGGGTATGGTAGAACACCTTGCCTTCCGCATTCTCGAATAATTCTTGATGTCCCAATGATGACACTGAGTATATTACCAAAGGCGCTGACAGCGACCAAAGCACTCAGAGCCTTCACGGACTTCGTATTACCAAACACTGCGAGGAAAAAAAGGCTCGCAGTGAGCTGTTTGGAGGTACGGATCTCGGCCTTAGGTACTAGTATGCAACTTTACTTGCGAAAAAGACAGGAGATGCGAGTAGGACTCACTTGCAGCAAAGTAAGCGATGTTCACAAAGAAGTATAGTGTGAACACTATTGTTAGTGCCAGAGGAGCAAAGCGTTTCATTGTGCGGATAGGATTCTAAACACCGATAACCAGAAAATTAACAGGATGTTCAAGAACACAGTGAACGGCTTACCGGGACTTCATTCAAGACATTGAAGGCATTCTGAACAGGATTGAGAAATCAATTTTGGTAAAATGTGGCACTAGTAGTACCTCAAAGCCACTGTATGCGAAGTTTACTTTGACCAGTGCCGTAGCAAGACCGTTGCCGTTGTGTGTCGTACCAGCAAAAGAATTTCGGAAGTTCGCGTGTGGGTCTTCGACTCGTGTGTGCCCACCAAGGACAACAAGGCCAGTGATGGAAATGCTGCAGAAGTATATAAATGCTCACATACATTGGTAGAGAATGTGAATTCGCACAAGATAAGCATGATGAGTTTTAGTACCCCGATCGCGTTGGACAACCGTAATGACCACTTGGTACTGGAGATGCATACTGTCCTGTGATGTCAGTATGGTATAAGGTATAAACTTCGTTTGGTCCGAGCTTACTTATAACAATTACAGTCATTGCCCCTACTGCTAATCCGCGAACATTCCATGTGGTGGCTTGGGCTCCGCCTGCAACTAGCAGATACTGTGCGAGCACTGAACAGCAAAGCCGTTAACGCGATAGTGGATCTTTCTCCAAGAACTCTTACCGATCGCATTACTGCTGCTGAATGATAGAAGAACAGCCTGAACGGCGAATGTAGTTGGCAAAAGGAACTTTGGTTTAGGATAAGCCTGTTCAACGTAGATAGGATGTTCGTTAGCGTGCAAGACCATGCGACACATGATAGATGAATGCCATGCCTTCTCCAGATAGGCGACTTCTGCTCCGGATCGGTGAGGAAAATATGAAGCATACTCTAGATAGACTGAAAGAGAGGCTACAGCGGCAAAAACGTCAAACACTGGGACTTGTAGTCTTTAAGACTTTTACCTGCTGCGAAGAAGTACCCAATAACCCAGAAAATCAGGCTCAGCCCGACAGAGCCAACTGAGTTGAGAATTGTACCAGCTGCAAGTCGATGATATGAGCTCCCAATTCTTGTGCCCTTTCATTTCAAGTAAGGATGTGCTCGTACGTGTGGAAAATATACCAGTTCCGATCATCCTGCTGATGTTCTAGGAAAGATGAGTATCGGATACTCGAGGGAAGGAAGGAGAGTTACCAGGAATATGACCGTGATAGAGTCTACATGATGACCAAGAGGACTAATTTTCTCCACTGGTGCACCAGTGGTCACTGCAGCGTGCTCATACGAGGGGATGCTCTCCGCGGAAGTACTAGTAACTTTGACATCGTATTTCTCCAGTGGACTCCGTCTGCTCTCGCCATCGATATCCTCCGCAGACATGATGGCCATAACGATGGTGAACCAGGGTGAAACGAAGAGGGTGGAAGAACCGAATAAAGGGAGCGCTTTGTAGATAAAACACCGCCCTAAAAAGACGTTCTAGAGCGTACAGAAGCACTGTCAGTTCGTTTCAAAGCACCATGCTGAACCGTGTCGCTATCCAAGCACAGTATGACTGCAGTTGCCTATTACGGCATGGATATGCGATAACCAAGACTGCAAAGGGAGGTCAATTGCGTTTCTGGAGTCTCCGGTTACGCCTTACTTTGGAGATAGGCGGACACATGAGCAGCTCAGGAGATTCGATTACGAATGATAACGTCAAAATTTCGATAGTTGCACCAATGCACCGCTGTAGATAAACGCATCCTTTTACCGTTTCAGAGGCCCATAGGAAGCAATTAAGGAAGCTGAGAGGTCAAGAGAAATTCAATAGGGATCACCTGCATTTCTTTCCGTAATCTCGAACTTGCACTTACCGTGATATTCACTACGAAACGTCGCCTTTGGATCCTAAGAATTGAAAATATGTGCTGGTGGTCGATCTGTACATCAGTCGCTTTGGGGACAAACTGTAATGGACGTAGCCAGCACAATGCCAACTATTAAGGATTTCTATGAAACCATCGCAATCAATGGTCATCCTGGCCGAAGCATGACAATGAGGACTTTGCGGAATCAATCGACTGTCAAGTTTTAAGCTGAAGCGTTCAAACGTTCATGATCAAGAGGCACGCGACGCGAAAGCTTTTGACCAACAAAGACACACACCAAGCTTATGGCCTCGTCTGAACCACCAATATCGACAGCGGCTCTTGCTCAGCCTTCATCCGGAGCACGAGAGACAGAAGCGGAAGCATTCTTGACATTGCGAGCAACAAAAGTAACATTTAAATTAAATTTAAAACGAGTGCCGACTAACGAACGGTGCTGGCAGAGGAAACTGGACGATGCCTTTCAAAGTCTTGACAATGCAGTCTCGTCTCCCGAGATACAACTTCCTCCTCCACAGAAGCGGCCGAATACAATACGTTCTCTATATTCCACACTAGCGAAATACGGGATCAAAAGGAAGGAGTCACAGCCAGAGTCAGTCTCTGCAATACGCGTAGCTAAACGCTCAAATTAACGCCTTTCTTAGACCAAGTCAGGCGCCAGAACAATTATTACCGACTACTTCGAAGAGTACACCTCATCTTTCAGCGATTGTAGCGCGGGCAGCTGCGCGTACTCGAAAGGCCCTACCATTCAAGTTTTCAAGCTCTTCATCGGCGCCTCCACTGCCGCCTACAGCAGATTATCGACCATCCTCTCTCACTACGTTCCTCGCACGTTTGTCGACATTCAAGTTATCCACCTATGCCAATAAGCCGTCGTCAATAGACGCTGTTGCAGCGTCTAAATGTGGCTGGACCAATGATGGAAAAGATAGATTGGTCTGTGGGTTGTGTCGAGCCTCTTGGATTGTTGTGGGGCGAGACGGAATGAACAAAGATGCTGGTAAGAGCTTCACATGCTGACCATTCGTTCTTGATGCTGATCTGTTGCCAGCAAACTCCCTTCTGGAAAAGCAGCGAACCTCCTTAGTAGATGCACATAAGGATGGATGCCCCTGGAGGACCAGACAATGCGATGGTATGATTTTGTCGGATCTGGGCTGTCTCATACTCATCATCCGACCCAGCATCGATTTACTGCATCCCTCTTCAATCGCCTGCAAATATGGTGAAAGACATCAAGGATAACGCCTTGGCGCTGGATACTTACCTGCGTAATATTGAAATTAAGCACCCTTTAGTACGCTTCTGCCGTTCTTTGAATGACTCATGCTCATACTGGCTACAGACATCGACCCAGATATCATCTCTGCAATCTACTCTTTCTGCTGTCACTGTTCACACCGATACCCCATCCCAACCTCTAAATACTGACAATCTGAATCCTTCCGATCAAGATGAAGGCAATGTTTTTTTGACGACAAGTTCTGAGAATGAAAATACACCCTCTAATTCTGCAATACTGACGTCTCTTTTTGGCTGGAGCATCGCACCACCGACCCCTCCAGAGCAATCACGGAAAACCTCTCTGACGCGCGCCAGCTCCATAAGCTCAACGGCGCCTCATACTCCCTCAATATCTCGATCATCTTCTGTCCGCCCAATGTCCCCAGTCCCCTTTAGCTCACCTTCCGTACGGCAAGGAACCCCTGCGACGCCCACTCGTCTTCCAAGTTCTCAATTTACCTTCCGCATGTCGTCAAATGTTAATGTTAAGAGCGATACCATATTGCATTGCACTCTTTGTCAACGTAGAATTGGGTTGTGGGCTTTTACCCCCGAGGTGTCAACTACGACTACAACAACTGAATTGCCCTCTGATTCGGACACTGCGATGCAATCTCCAGCAGGATCACCTCCTAAAAAATCTGCCACGCGGCGGCTATTCGACGTTCTAAAAGAACATCGAGCATATTGTCCTTACGTCGTTCGTTCTACAACTGTTCCGACACTTCCTGTCCCCCCTCCCTCAGTCCCTACTGGATCATCAGCATCTCTTCCGCGGCCAAGCACTGCGTCAACCGCATCTTTGGTTCATAACCAGAATACGGTACTAGAGGGCTGGCGGGCAGTTCTGACAGTTGTTTTGCGTTACGGGGTTGTTCAGAAGCACAGGCTTGGGTTAGATTTCGCAGAAAGGCTTAGAGGAGATACTGCTGACGAATCCATGGAGGTGGATGGTGTCAAAGCTATGGTAGCAGGCGTGAAGAAACGAGGGGTGAGTGAATTATGATTTCACCCTGTTTTACTCCAAAATCTCACATCATCTTGTCCAGGGTAAAGACCTGTTGCAATACGTCAAGGGTTTGCTTGGATGATATGCATATCTGTATATCTTGCGCTATTGCGACTACTTTATCTTCGTGATAGGACAGGTCGGGTTTCAATAACATATATACAAAGGCTACTATTTTGAATACACCTGTTTCAACTCTCCTAATGCTACATGTGCGGACATTATGTCGTAAAGAGACGAACGATCCTCATAAGCTGGCAACCGTGGCGGCGAAAATTACCATATCTAGTAGGTGAACCCCTGGTGTCACCAGTCGTAATTATAGAAGCACTGTCAGTTGTCAAGCATCATGCTGAACGGTGTCGCTATCCAGTATGACTGCAGTTGCATTTAACGACATGAACATGCGATACCATTGGCAGCAAAGCCAATTGCGTTTCTGGGTTCACATTTTTACGAGCAAAGCTTGGATCGGCCTATTGTGGTATGCAAAGAGAGATCCCCATTGTAATCTTTGCTAGTATATCGGTTAGTACACGCGCCTGTCATTCCTCATGGGGCTCATCCGCGCGAAAGCTGGGTTCGACTCCCAGGCAAAGAGCTATTGAGGATAAGTCCTGTCTTTTTCTTTTTTGATAAGACACCACAGTGAAGGAGTCAAACATGATCTCAATAATTGTAGTCCGAGTCTCCGCATAAGTACATGGCGACTTCGAGCAAGATGCAGTCTCCGGTAACCGCGGTTTGGGCTTACTTTTAGAGATAAGTGCACACATGAGCTCCATAGCAAATGATTACCACAAACATGCGACGTGAAATTATCGTGTCTCGATACTAGTCGCAGTGTGGCAATACCGCGCCACAATAGATAAAAACGTCCGTTTACAGTTTCAGAGGTCAGTAGAAAGAAATAAGGAATTACTGGCCTTTCTTTCGATAATAAGATCCTTCCTTAGTGGGGAAGCTGCGGTTGGTTGCTTCATTGTCAGAGTTCGCGTTCGAAGTTGCACTACATAGTACTGCACGAGAAGATATCTGAAGCCATCAAAAAATCATCATCATTAGGTTACGTAAATTCAATCACGTGATAGAGATAGAAGTGTCGAGCCTCGAGCTAAAGGCCTGTTAAAGAGGTTTCACCACCATGCCTGAGCTTCCTGCCAGTTTAATATCGGCGTTGGATGAGTGTGTATATAACTATAAACATCCTAAACTCGCAAGCAGCCATGGTCCTACTCGCTACCCCAAACTTGAATCTGGAGTTACTTTTCATGACAAACACATGGACTCTCAATTAGCTCTTTCTCGCGTAATTTTGGCCCCCTCTCTTGTGGACGACCTCGTTACGGCTGGTGAACGAGCGCTACAGAATTACAAGAATAGAACGGATGTGGAACTACCCCCTGTCACTGAAGGGTTCCTCTGGCCTGAATTCCCTCGTCATGATGTTGTTAATGCCCAGTCAGTCGGCTCGGTGTATGCCAAAGGGATTGCTGGCACTGTCGCAACCATCGCTTCTATGCTTTTACTGCATCCTAATGCACCAGAATGGATGGATTCAATGTTCTTCTTGGAGAGCGACCTAACCAATGAGAAGTCCGATGCTCTTTCCGAGGATCTCACTCCAATTCTTATGAAACCATACGACGACCAATCGGAAAGAATGGGTATGCCAATAAAACAGGATGTCTGGGAATCTATGGACGAGATCACGAAAAAACGATATCGAATTGCCTTTGAAAAGTTCCGGAGACCGGGGGTATGGAATGTATATTTTATACGTCGTGAAGCTAGCAGGGCGTTGAAACGCATGGAGAATGTGGTGAATCATATGTGGAACTACCCTACGTTTCGTACCAAGGCCTTGAATGTTGAACCAGCCAGCCTGGAGCACCCTTTTTCTCCCGATGCGCTGGAAACCGCCTGGGGCACGTCAGTATCTGGGTTTGTGTCTGCTACATCGCGAATTTCTGTCTTCCCCCTTCCTCTGCCGCATGTGGACTCCAAATTTATACACATACAAGTTTCACAAGTTTTCAGTGACAAGGGAAGGCTTTTGATGTCGTCCAAATCTGCTCAATTGAACTCGAAGTGGTCGGCCGTCAGCATACCTCCACCCTCGGAACCAATGAAGACGGACGAAGAAATCGCCATGTCCATGTTACACCGTGTAAGGTTTTGCGATTACTGTTTCTTATCAACTTGACACCTTTTCCAGGCCTGGGCTCGTGCTGTTGAAAAAGATGCTACGTTTATCGTTCTACATTGCGGGACTTATGAGAGGTTAGCCATTCGTCATCGTTCCACCCGGACACTTTTCCTCTCCAGCCTTATCGACGTTTCCCGGAATCAAGACCGTAGATATGGAGCCATTCATCTTGGACTCTTTGTATCTATCTTGTTTGATGTTCTTGATCGCGCAGGACAAATAGAAGAGAGATCAAATCAAAACTTGGAGAAACACTCTTTTAAGCCACCTAAGCGACCGAGACTCGCTGTCGCGTCCGATGGAACAGGAGAGACGTTCGAGCAGAACCAATTACCAGTATCTACGCTTCTCCCTACAATCATGCTAAAACTAAATTGCATTCATCAGGCGCTTGTCGAAGATATCTTGCCCCGTCCACTAGCCCTTCTGCGGATGCAGTATGGCAAATTTAATTCCCCAATCCCCGCTTCCTTCCTTCGATATAATTCTGCAGGCGACGAGCCTAAAACGTCGAGTTATCAGCCTAAAGAATATTTTATACTCACACTTACGTCTTATATCGGCGATGGATCCACTGGCGAAGTACATGAAGCAACAATTGAACTGTTGGGCTCCGATGGGAATGTTCACGTATTCCCCAACACCATCGTCAAGTTTGCGTTTCATCCTGCTTCAAGACGACGTCTAAGACACGAGTTCAAGGTGTATCAGCAGTTGAAGCTATTGGGAATAAAATGCATTCCTGAGGTTTTTGGTTTGTTCAAGGACGTCGAAGGAGACACTCTGGCGTTGGTCATGACAAATGCTGGGAAGTCTCTTGCCAGTCGGACAGTCGATCTTCAGCAATCTGCATTTCACGTGTCCGAAGAAGAGCGGTACGCTTATGAAATATCTTCTTCTTTAACTGGCTGACTGTGGTGAATTGCGCTTCAGAAATGAGTTTATCGAGGCTCTCAAGTCGATCCATTCTCAAAGGATCCGCCACAGAGACATACGACCGGAAAATCTTCTTGTTTCAGAAGACGGTTCAGTTACAATAATTGATTTTGATCGGGCAAGCTTGGATTCTAGCGAAGAGACCTGCGAAGAAGAAATGCAACACTTGGTGAATGTCCTGGATGGCAGTGACTATGCAGCTGTTGGAGTAGAGTTTATCTCTCGCGGGAGCTTCAGCGAGTCTGAAGCTGCTTCGAGGGCGACATCACAAAGCTGGGAGGGTTCTGTAGACAATTCTGACCGAGATCCTGAAGACTGAGAGGTAGTCGTAGGTGATCTAGATCCCCTGGTCCTGTTTCATGACTATTCAACTTCTTTGATACCAAACCATCATAAGTGTCCTAACCACCATACTGCAGTTCTTTCATATCATACACGAACTTTTCCCGCTGACCTACAATCTTCAGCTTTTCGACGGACTCTGCGTATATCAATCCGATAATTGAAATGTGTTGATCGTCGAGCTATACATCAGTCGCTTTGCGGACAACTGTTATGAACGTAACCAGCTATAGATGCTATCAAGGAGTTCTTCGAATCCATTACTACCAATGGTCGGCCGTGCAAAGCATGGAACTTACACATGCTCGGATGCGTTCGCAGAAAGGCTTAGAGGAGATACTACTGAAGAACCAAACCCATGGAGATGGATGGTGTCAAAGCTACGGTAGCAAGAAACGATGTGAATCTACGATTTCACGCTGCTTTACTGCAAAATCTCAATCTCACATCATCTTGTCCAGGGTAAAGGACCTGTTGCAATATGTCAAGGGGTTGCCTGGATGATATGGGTTTCTGTGTTTATTGCGCCGACTACTTTATCGTCGTGATTCAATACCATATATACAAAGGCTACTATCTTGAATACACCTGTTTCAACTCTCCTAATGCTACCTGTACGGACATTAGACCCGTCTCCTGTCGTGAAAGACAAACGAACCTCATAAGCTGGCAACAGTGGCGCGAGATCTTTCTCTGCCACTCTAAGCCTTTTAACTCTGTCCAGATGATCTGCCTCTTTGAGGAGACCCTTGAAGTACCGTGCCTAGACGAATTTTCACTCCCTATCCATCACTTCGTAAGTCAAAACGTGAGCTCACCTCCTGCTCCTCTACCAGAGTCCAAGCATCTCCCGAGCGTCCTGCACGGGCAGTGCGTCCGACACGATGTACATACTTCCGCATGTCCACAGGAACATCATAGCTGACAACATGCGAGACATGACTGATATCTATCCCTCTCGAAATCAAATCAGAGCAGACCAGACTGTTAACGAGTAAGGAAACGGAATTTGAACAATAAAAGGCGTGACAGACATCTGAATTTCCTGAGCCTTGAATTTCTCTAAAATTGACTTGCGTTCACTCGCGGGAAGATCACTCGAGTAAGCACGAACAACAGTTTCTTTGACGGCGCCTGCCATGGCGTTCTGAGCTCTCGCTTTTTCAAAGAAGTCGAACAGTTGCACTAGTCGCAAGGTAGATTCGGCTGATTTCGTGAACACCAATGCATTTATCACTTGGTGCGAATGCACCAGATGGAAGAGCATCAATGGCTTCTGAGATGGTTCACAAACAATCATATGTTCCTTGTCACAGACTAGATGAGCAAAAATGGATGATACGTAGAGAATAATATATTTACCGTCAAGGTCGTTGGCATTGAGAACTTCTCCATGACGACATCCAGAACGCCGTCTTTCTTGCTATCCTGAACAACGAAGTACTTGGGGTCTCGCAGATCTAATGCTGCAATTTTACCGGGGTCTCGCGTAAGTGTCGCTGAAAACAGAAGCTTTTGGCACGACGGCGCCATTGTTTCCGTGGGAAAGACTGGAATATATGGATAAGATAGGGTGTGAATGAATGCTGGAGCTACGGCATCAGCTGTTGGTAATGTCGACGCGCTAGCTTGCGGAGGTTCATCAGTTGGAGGGGGTGGTCGCGTAGCCGCCAAAACTTGAGCAAGCCAGTCTTGGAATGATTGAGCTAGCAAGCGGTCTGCTTCGTCGATGACCTGCGTGCGTCAAATGATATTTATGAGTCATGAAGCATGGGAAAAGTCACAGCACATACGAGAAAGCGTAGGTGTTGTAATGAAAAGTTTGGAGTGCCGTGAAGATGATCTATTAGTCTTCCTGGTGTGCAGATGAGTATGTCAACTTTACTAGAACCACCTTTCAAACTACGACTGGTTAGTGAAACATCAGATGAGGTGATTATCAAAGCGCAGGCTTACTGTGAAGATCTATCTGCTATGAGTTGAGACTGTTCATGAGAAAAAGATTGCTGTCCCGTTGCAGTCCCAATCTTCAAAAGGAATCAGACACAAAAAAGGAATAGGAAAAATGCCGATCGAACCTGTAGACCCCTTCCTTTTCCAACGGCTTCGAATGT